TAATAATAGAATTCTTTATAATTTTAACTGTTTTTAGCCAAGAAAATTAAAATTTGGATAAAATTACCCTTAATAAAACCGACCTATTTATTGGCTTCGCGTCTCAACCCGAAACCTATTAACAGGTCAAGTATATTTAGGTCTGCACCTCAAATCGACTCATATTCTTTGAGCTTTCCTCATCAGACTATTCATCTCTAAAGTATTCCTTACCAGAAAGAAAAATGTTTAAGCATTTTAAGCATTTTGGAGTAGTTTTTGATATATGAAGAAAACCTTTGAGCATTTTAAGTATTTTTAGGCATTTTGGAATTATTTTTGATATATGAAGAAAACTGTTTTAATTATTTTGAGTATTTTTTGTCAAGTAGGCATTTTCGTTAATTATGTTGTAAAATAAAATATGGTGTATTATTTAAAGTTGTTGATCTTGTTAAATAGAATTCAGTAATTTTGGTGGTTTTGGGTACTGCGTGACTAGTTTTTAGGCATTGCGTGACTTACTTTGTACATTATGTGACTGACTTTGGGCATTGCGTGACTAATTTTTAGGTATTGCGTGACTAGTTGGTAGGCATTGTGTGACTTGTTAGTAAGGCATTGCGTGACTAGTTGGTAGGCATTGTGTGACTTGTTAGTAAGGCATTGCGTGACTAGTTAGTAAGGCATTGTGTGACTTAGGTATTGTTTAAAAATCAATCATGCAATGCCTAAAAACCAATCACATAATACCTATAACTAATCACGTAATGCCTAAAAATCAGTCACACAGTAATTAAGTCATGCAATACTTAAAACTAGTCTCGTAATACTTAAAATCTAGTTTAATCAATTTCAACTCCTCAACTTTGGGGTTTTATGGTTTTATAAATAAACCAATAAACTCAAGAACCTAAGACACATACTTTTTTTTTGCTAAGCCATGAAATTGTGCATTTCATAAAAGATAGGCTACAAAACTCCATAATCCTCCAAAGTAAGACAAAATATATCTCTATCGAGAGGGCTTTGCTTACTTCCCTTATGCAAAAACAAAATATACTTCCTTTACAAAATATTCCCTGAATAATTTCAACTCAAAATCCCCAACAAACATATTTAACAATCATCTCAATCCTAGACACAACAAA